CTAGAAAATTTATATGTTTGATTTTAAAAAAGATACATAGCAAACAATGTTCTAACCATAACGCACTTATGTACTAATATACTATTATGAACAATTTCTCTGTACTGCTTATGTACTCCTGGTACACAATGAACGTGAGATGCTAGAAAATTTATATGATTTGTTTCTTTTTAAAAAAGATGCATACAAAAAAAATTGTAACCATCATAACGCACTTATGTATTAATATAGTATTATGAACTTTTTCTCTGTACTGCCTATGTACGCCTAGTACACAATGAACGTGAGATGCTAGAAAATTATATGTGATTTTTCTTTTTAAAAAAGATGCATAGAAAAATGTTGTAAGCATCACAACGCATTTATGTCGTTATGACTTCGTCCGCGTGGACTTTAACTTTATTTTTCTAAAATAAAAGTAGCCTAAGTTATTCCTTATTACATTAGCTACTTGCCAAAAAAAGTCCCGTCAAAATTGGTCCAGCCATTTCAGAGATTAGCCGAAACAAACAGACAGACAGACAAAAATTGTAAAACATTTTGGTGTACGTACCGTATTTATATTCATATGCATGTAGTAAATAACGGTTATTTCAATATTACAAACAGACACTCCAATTTTATTTATATGTATAGATATACTATTATGCTTCTTACCGTTGACTGCCTATGTACGCCTGGTACACAATAAACGTGGGATGCTAGAGAAATTGTATGATTTGTTTTTTTTTAAAAAAGATACGTAGAAAAAAGTTTCATACAAACAGTCATACATTAATATACATTTTTGTATTAATATATCAACATGATTACAATATAAATATTTGTATAATAAAATATATGTCAATAATTTTTTTTTTACCGTGTTCGCATAGAGAACGTTTCATTCAAACAGACATACATGAATATTGATTTTTAAATGATTACTAGCTGTCCCGGCAAACGTTGTTTTGCCTTAAAATAAAAATAAAATTGGTGTGGACTACCCCTAACATTTAGGTGGATGAAAAATAGATGTTGGCCGATTCTCAGACCTACTCAATACGCTCACAAAATTTCATGAGAATCGGTCAAGCCGTTTCGGAGGAGTATGGGAACGAAAACTGTGACACGAGAATTTTATATATAAGATATCACATATTTACTTTATCATATTATTATGATAAAATATATGTAAATAAATAAATTTTCTTTTTTACCGTTGCCGCATAGACAAACAGTTTACATTTTTTTCAGTATAGATATAGATAGATAAGGTTATCACGACTTTTACTAGGAGAGGTGGTAGAGTTATAAAGTTCATCCAACTTATACAATATCTGTTTTTCGTATGACTCACATATTGTGATAATTAATTTATTTAATTATATATATATATACTCCTATTATGAGGATTCATTAAAGTGATAACGAGGAAAACTTAAATAACGGTTTTATTTTCAAATTCAAATTCAAAATATCTTTATTCATGTAGGTCTATTACAGACTCTTATGATATGTCAAATCTACCGTTAGTTCGGAACGATTTCGAGATGAGAAGAACTGACAAGAAACTCAGCTCGTATTTTCAAATGTTTTTTTTTGCAATTTCAAAAACTTCATTTGCACGGGCTACTACACTACTTCAGATGGTCGCAGGGGTCGGGTATTGATGAGTATGATTGCTTGTATCGGTCTCGGTGTTTTCTCTTTATAATATGTATGTACTAGCTCACCCGTGATACTTTGTCTGCATCGCATTTATTTGAGACTAGCTTTTGCCCGCGGTTTTGTTTGCGTTAATTTATCCCCTTGGGGGTGGAATTTATCAAAATCCTTTCTTAGGGACGTCATTGTAGCTTTATGCATGCAAAGTCTCAGTCCGATTGGTTTAAAATTGACAAAGTTTCATACAAGTTTCACCCCCTATTTTAGCTCCTTGGGGACAGAATTAATCAAAATCCTTTCTTAGCGGATGCCTACGTCATAACATCAATTTGGCATACAGGTGCATGCCAAATTTCAGCCCGATCCGTCCAGTGGTTTGGGCTGTGCGTTGATAGATCTCTATGTCAGTCACCTTTGAGTTATATATATTTGATTTATCAGTATATTTTGCCAAATTTATATATCTTTTTAATTTAGAGCCTATGCATGTATAATCTTGAATCTTAAATAATCTATGTGTAATTCTGATGTATGAGCTATATTACTGTAAAGTTTTATCCAAATCCGTTCAGTAGTTTTTGCATGAAAGAGTAATAAACATCCATCCATTCTCCAATCACTCCAATCCAAACATTTACATTTACAATATTAACAAAATTTACAAAAATAAATGCGTCAAGTATTTATATCAGTTGTCTAGTACCCATAACACAAGATATGCTTAGCTTGGTACTAGATGGCGCTGTGTGAATTATCCAGGGTTATTATTATTATTAATAATTACAAGCATACATATTTAGATATTGCTTATGTAAGTTCCAAACAAAACTCTTTTGAAATTATCAATTTTACGATCAAAGATGTACCTTTTTAATGGTTGGCAGAGAGCACACCCCTGATGTCTCAGGCGTCCATAGGCTACGGTAACCGTTTACCATCAGATGGGCCGATCGATCCTCTATCCAATTCAAATGGGGATCGAAATTAACCGCACCGAGGTTTGAGCCCTAGTAGTGCCCTCAGACTAAAGTCGTATCCGCCAGGCGGGAGTTGACCTTCAGCCGCTCCATAAGTCCTTCCTTGGTTTGGAGTGCCATCTGCACTCGCTCCCTATCGTCCGGTGAAGCTGTAAAGGCCAGCTGCGGCCAACAGCATTAGAGTAGTCCGAAAAAAATAGTCCGTATGCTTGATTGTCACCAAAAAAACGACTTTTTGCACAGTGTACCTAGGTAAACAATATAATTCTTGACACATTAAGATTATATATTTATAGGTAACGTAGGAATAAACAGTATGAGTAACGTGACCAGACGTCCCGTTTTAAACGGGACTGTCCCTTTTTATACAGTGCTAATTGGTGGTTTGTATTCACACACTTAAACTTAAAAATGTAAAGTAATAATAAAATTATTTAAAAGAGCAACACGCAAGTTTCTTGCTCGTTCTTCTTGTGATGAGACAGCTTTCCGAACGAGCGGTATATTAAAAAATGTAATGACTATTCAAAAGTGCTTCAATGTAAGTTTATTTGAATAAATGATTTTCTACGAGTCCCGGTGTTCCCAAAATGAAATCGCAAAATTGTCCCATTTTCGGAAAGTCCGCGAATACTTGTGTAGTCCAGCGGGCCGGTTGTGATGTTGATTATTGTTGATAATTAAGACGAGTATAAAAAAACGTGTCCAGAGTTTCAGTCTTACTTAAAAGTTTCACTAGCTATATTCAAGCAAATTTGTTAATCCAATGATACTTAACTTTCATGCTAACCATTTCTGAATGAAGCTATAAGAAATAGATTTTTTCATTGCCTGTCTATCTTTTAAATATATATAACTCAAAAGTGACTGACATAGTGATCTATCAACGCACAGCCCTAACCACTGGACGGATCGGGCTGAAATTTGGCATGCAGGTAGAAGTTATGACGTAGGTATCCGCTAAGAAAGGATTTTGATTAATTCTACCCCCAAGGGGATAAAATAGGGGTTGAAAGTTTGTATGAAACTTTGTCAATTTTAAACCGATCGAGCTGAGACTTTGCATGCATAAACCACTACTATGATATAGGCATTCCCTAAGAAAGGATTTTGATAAATTGCACCCCTAAGGAGATAAACTAACGCGAGCGAAGCCGCGGGCAAAAGCTAGTTAATTGATATAAATAAACCAATGTCCCGTTTCGAGTCAAAGAATGAATGGTCACGTTAAGTGTGAGTCATAAAAAAATAAACCTACCTTAACAAACGTGGATGACCTGACCACTGGCCATGTTGGCGATAATGCATTGGTACCTAGGCATTGGATTTATCTCTGTTTGTACAGAACTGTGTAACTTGGAAGAAGGGGGGGGGGGGGGGGGGGGTGATGTTTTGTTTTTTTCTGTTATGTAATTCGACTGACTTCAAGTTGATTGCAGTTGTCAGAACTAAACTAATTCAAAATGATAAAGTAATTTATTTATTGTTGGTAATAATGCAATGGTGCCTCTGCCTGCGGTAACAGCTTACGCTAGCGGGGCACCAGGTCATCAAAATTTCAAAATTCAAATTCAAAATATCTTTATTCATGTAGGTCTATTACAGACTCTTATGATATGTCAAATCTACCGTCAGTTCGGAATGATTTCGAGATGAGAAGAACGGATCGGAACTGATAAGAAACTCAGCTCGAGATGGGGACCTCATCCCCTTTGTCAGCAACAGTAAGCAAAACTCTTACCCCGTCCCCCCATGCTTACGTAAACATTTTTTAATTAATTTCTTTTAGCAAACACTTTTGAGGGTTGCCATTCGTGGAAAAAGTACCGATGACGTAATCATTATCTAGACTCCCCACCCCCTATAGTGCTTACTTACGTAACACTTGAACAGCCCCTAATTTGTGTACACACATATCGGTGTACGCGCGACTCCGTGTCTGATCGTATATATGGCAACATAATTGAAAAATGAATGATTTCGGTGGACATCACCCCCCACACTTCGGTAACGTCGTGAGCCAGGTCGAGATATGTTCTCTTTTTCTCGGTTTCGGCTTTCACGAGGTCATGCGGTGTGGTGATGTCCACCAAAAATACCCTCGAGAGTGCCCGATCCATCACCACGATATAAGGTTTGTTCGCAAGAACTTTCCTGTCAGTGATGATGGATTGGTCCCAGGCTCTACAGACTCTTTTGTACCTGTGTACTGGAGTAACAATGAAAGGCCGAGTTGGATGCTAACTGATTTATTTTTTAAATACCCTACATATCCCACCACCAAATACAGAAATACACATATGTAACATTATGACTTAACTTATTACTTAACTCTAACAACAAAGTAGACTAATAATTCATTCACGTTTTTAACAGTTATATATTTACTTTTGCTCTCTTATGGGCTCTAATTGCTCGTGCAGAGGCTCCTGCTGGTAAGGAATTATTCGTACTTGCATCTAACTCCGGACTCTCGATTACCGCATCCTCATAATCTGAACTTCCATCCGATCTCTCTTCCACTTCTAATTGTTCCTCGCGGTCACCAGCAGTAACCTCAGCCCGGCAGTATCCTTCCGCGTCGCTAGACCTCATTTTCTCCTCATTGATTGGTTCTGAACTCGCACGAGATAAAGAATATCGACCTCTTTGTCCACGGAGAATTTGGTCCTGGTGTCTACGCCACTCGGTACCATCACATAATTTAACTTTATAGGATACTGGTCCAGTAACCGCTGAAATCTGACCTTCCATCCATTTATCTCCCTTTTTGGAGTAATCCCGTGTAAGTATAGTTTCACCCACCTTACACGGCCTATACTGACCGGCTGCTGCGCGCATTTGTTTGTCTTGTGCGGCGGCTACTACGGCAGCGGTGTCAGGACGCAGGGCATCCAGCCGTCCGCGTAACCTACGCCCGAGCAGAGCGACCGCAGGTGAAACACCTGTTATTGCGTGCTCTGTATTTCTATACATAAATAAAAACCTATATAAGGAGGTCAAAACGTCCTCGCCTTCAAATAATGCGCGTTTAATTACTTTCTTAACCGTCTTTACAGAGTTTTCAGCTTCTCCATTACCTTGAGGTCTGTACGGCGCGGAAGTAGTATGTTTTACAATATTATTTTTACAATATAAACTAAATTCTTCAGAGAAAAAAGGTGGGCCATTATCAGTGACTAGCTGTGACGGGAGTCCAAATCTAGAAAATACTGAACGAAACGCATTTATTGTTGCACTGGCTGTCGTACTTGACATTGGAATTGTTTCAATCCATTTGGAATGTGCATCTACGATTATCAAATAACGCTTGCCCGCGCAATCAAAAAAATCAGCATGCACCCGCCGCCATGGATTCAATGGAAATTCCCAGGGATGGAGCGGGGCACGTGCTGGTGCGTCTCGTACTCTCTGACAGGCGGTGCACTCCCGCGCTACCTGCTCAATGTCATTATCTATATTTGGCCAGTACACATAGTTACGTGCAATATTTTTCATTTTATTCATGCCCAAATGCCCTTCGTGAATTTCTTTCAATATATAAGATCGTAATTTTACTGGGACGACAATTCTATATTTATAGATTATACAATTTAAATCTATGTATAAATCGTTTTTACGAATAAAATACGGTTTCTCCTCTTTATCACTAACCGCCGACGGCCACCCGAAATTGATATATCCTACAATTCTACTTAATAGTGAATCACGCTTGGTTTCTGTAGCGATGTCTTTAAAATTAATTGGCACCGCTTCTTCTATATAATTAAAATAATGCACCGCAGAGGTGGGACGCCCGCTTAGCTGTAGTGGTAGACGTGATAGACTGTCTGCTGGCCCGTTTTCCGTTGATTTAATAAATTCAATTTTGAAGTCATAACCGGCCAATCGCGCTGCCCAACGCTGTAGCCTACTGGCAGCTGTTTGAGGGATACCTCTCTTTTCACCAAAAATATACGCGAGAGGCTTGTGATCTGTTCTTAATACAAAATGTCTACCAAACAAATATTGATGGTGTTTCGTAATACCGTAATATATAGCTAAAGCCTCTTTATCTAGCTGACTGTAACCACGCTCCGCGTTGTTAAGCGTGCGGGAAGCGCAACTGACCGGGCGCTCCTCCCCCCGTCGTAGCGGTGTGCGAGCACAGCCCCTACGCCGTACGCGCTGCTGTCCACCGACAACACCAGCGGTCGTCCCTCCTCGTAATGAGCTAGGACATTGTTACTTAACAAAACTCGTTTGGCACTATTGAATGCCTGCTCACATGTTTTGTCCCATTTCCATTTCGTATCTTTTTTTAACAATGAATGTAACGGATATAGAAGCGTACTCATATTGGGTATGAATTTACCATAGTAATTTATTAATCCTAAAAAGCTTTTTAGTTGAGTGACATTCACAGGTGGTGGCATTTTAGTGATCGCATCGAGTTTCGTCGGGTCGGCCCGGAGGCCGCATTTATCAATAATAAACCCTAAATAATTAACACTTTTTTGTAAAAATTTGCATTTTTCAAGTTTAACTGTTAAACCCATTTGTCTTAGGCGGTCTAAAACAGTACGAAGATTGCGAAGGTGAGCGTGACGATTCTCACCTGTGACACATATGTCATCTAAAAAAACAACTGTACCTGCCACCCCGCGTAGCGTCTCTTCCATCAATTTTTGGAATTTTTCCGGTACACTAGATAAACCGTAAGGCGTCCGGTTATAAGCGAAAGTCCCTAAGTGGGTAGTAATGGCGGTATAGCGTTGTGACTCCTCATCTAATAATACCTGTTCGTACGCGTGTCGTAAATCAATTTTTGTATATTCTTCACCATTGCTTAAATTCGCAAACAGTTCCTCTATGCGTGGTAGAGGATAAAAATCGCGTTTCAGTTTGGGATTAATTGTAATCTTGTAATCTCCACACAGCCTTAGATCGCCATTACTTTTCACCACGGGTACAATTGGGGTGCCAAAATCAGAATGGTCCACCCGGTATATAGTGCCGTCGCGCTGGAGTCGCTCGAGCTCGCGCTCGACGCGCTCCCGCAGCGCCAGCGGCACGGGCCGCGCGCGTACGTACACACCTTCGCAATCGGTCAGCTGTAAATGTATCTTTTTCTTACAAGTGCCCAATGTATTAGTAAACACTTCGGGATATTCTATACACAATTGGCTCACAATATGGTCATCGACCATTTCGTTTATATTTATTTGCATTATATTAAGTGCCTTAATCCAATCTCTTCCTAATAGGGGCCTGCCGCCGCCCTTTATAATATACAATAATAAATTATTGGCTATATTATTTTTAAATTCTACGTCTACGCGTATGTAACCTAAAGGTTCGATTACGGAACCCGAATAGCTGCGCAAAATTAAGGTATCGGTTTGTAACATCTTATTTGAAAACAAAATTTTATAGCAGTGTTCATTAATCGCAGATATTCGGCTACCCGTATCTATCTCACACTCCAAAGTAATACCATCCACAACAATTTTAATTAAATACGGCCTGTTACCTTGCGATGTCACTTCCATGTTAAAAAAGTCATCTTCCGAACTATCGTTGTTACCTATATAGTGTTGTGAATTAGAAACACCGGTTTCCCGTTTTCGCACTTTATCACACATCACCCGCAGATGGCCGCGTTGATTACACTGATCACAATTATAATTAGCGAACCGACACTTAAACGCCTTATGCGCCTTGCCACACCGCCAGCACGAGTCCGGCCGCTCGCTGCAGGCGGGCGCGGCCGGCGCGCCGCGACCCTGCTGCCGGCGCGCGCCGCCGCCGCCGCCTCCGTGGCCGCCGCCGCCGCCGCCGCCGCCGCCGCCGCCGCCGCAGCCGCCGCCGCCGCCGCCGCCGCCGCCCGGGTAGCGCGCACGCACCGCGTGTAACCCCTCTTCCATCTCTCCACTGCTGAATGCGCTCCTCGTCGCCGACGCGCCCGAGCTGCTCACCTCGGCGTGTCTATCGGCCGCCTCCAGCGCCAGAGCTAGCTCCACCGCCTTACCATATCCTATATTTTTCTCGGCAAAAATTCGTGATCTCATCATTTCACTCGCCAGGCCGGAGACGAATTGGTCGCGGAGGTTCTCTTCCAAACGATCACCGAAGTTGCAAGTCGCCGCGAGGTGTTTTAGATTTTGTAGATATTCCGTAAGTGATTCGCCCGGCTTTTGTCTTCTCTGTCTAAAAACATGGCGTTCTGCTATTTCTGAGCGTTGTGGTTCGAGATGATCCGTGACTAATGCAACCAACTGTTCATAGGTTTTAGTTTCGGGTGCATCCGGTGCACACAGATCACACATCAACGCATACGTCGCTTCACCGACCACCGTTATTAACATCGGTACTTTTAACTCCGGTTTTATTTCGTTGAGAATAATAAATTGATTGACACGTCTTACGTATGCCGGCCATTGTTTACAATTTAGATCGAACGGTTCTATTTTACCAATAGGCATATTGTAATTTCACTTATATTTATGACGACCCAAACTTCGATTAAATTCACAATATTATAGTGTCACAATAGCGTATAAACTTTAAAAGTAATCACTTTAAACGTATTTAAATACCGACTGCGCCAATGGAGTAACAATGAAAGGCCGAGTTGGATGCTAACTGATTTATTTTTTAAATACCTACATACCCTATTTATTTTCTAAATAAAACGGCGGTTTTATAAAAAAAAAACAATGGAACACGTGTACAGGATAATTAAAAAGAAAAAAAAAATAGAACAAAAGGATGTCACCGCAAAGGAAGCGGCAGATATTACTATGAATTAAAAAAAGAAGAAAACAGAATATATGTTTATATATAATATTATATTTTATTTGTTAAGGTGCAATAAATTATATAAAAATATTTATTCTCAATTTCACCATAGACTTTAACAATAAACAAAAGAGTGCATATGTGTATCGAATACATACATTTTTTAAATTGATTTAAAGTATTGTGATATATGATTAAAAAGATCTATTAAAACTGTAAGTGTGCAAAATTTCATACACCACCCGCGTTTCGTAAAAAGGGTATAAAGTTTGCTTCACATCTGAATATACAGATAAGTCAAGCAGACTTTGTACAAAGTCTGTAGAAGTCGCTAGTAACAAGCGTGATAAACATAGGTACCAGACAGACTTACAAAGTAGTCTAATGGCCAATTCCACGTGTATATCACTCCCTTATTATATGGTAGCAAGGTCAAGGCGCATATATCATATATTAATACTTATAAATAGGTACCAACTCATTAATTTTATACTAGCTGTTTACCACGGCTTTGCTTGCGCGCTCTGTAATAATAATTACATTTCTACATCTCTAAAGATGAGGCTTTAGAAACTAAACATTTGGTGTATATTGGTGATGTTACGGAGCTCCGTAACCGTAACCGAAACTAACGGATAACCGATATGAAAATATATCCATAACCGTAACTGAATCCGAAATATAAGTGTCGGATAATATAGGATAGAAGCGGAGCCTAATTCAGACACATTATGTAACCACTTTATTAGTTATTTGTATTTAATTTTGAAATTCCTTAAAAATTAATATACGTACGTACGTACGTACGTAACCGAAATTATCCGAAACTAACGGATAATCCGAAATAATTTCATATCCATATCCGGTATAATAATCGTTCCTATATCTGAAACTTATCCGTATTCGAAATTTCATATCCATAACATCCCTGGTGTATACTAGCTGTACCCGCGACTTCATCCGCGTCGACGAATGACCAATTTCCATACAATCTTTCATCCCCTATTTTATTTTACCTAACAATATTTTTTTACCTATTAAAAATAAGTTTCAAGTTTTCAAGTTTCTTCTTCTTTCGTCTCCTTTTCACACATACAGACAGATCATATTCTAAGCTAACACTTAACGTATTTTTTACCAGACTCCACGCAGGCCACTCTGGGAGATAGAACTAGATAAAGTAACTAAAATATTAACTTAATAATTTTTTATACTACGCCGTTGGCAAACAAACATACGGCCCATCTGATGGTAAACGGTTACCGTAGCCTATAGTCGCCTGAAACACCAGTGGTTTCACATTTGCGTTGTAACCCTTAAGTAACATTAATATACCCTTCTTGAAAAACCCGATGCGAGTCTCTGCACAAAACCTCAGCAGGTAGTTTATTCCACAATCTAAATGTACGCGGGAGGAAACTCCTCTGAAACCACACTGTCGAAGACTACTTAGGTTCCAGCGTGTGGGGATGAATTCCCTGTGGATGGCGGGCGGTGTGAAGGTAAAGGGAAGCTGTGGACATCATGTCGAACAATTCTTCAGAACACAGTAATAATAATAATAATAGTAATCTCAGAACAATTCACACAGCGCCATCTAGACCCAAGCTAAGCTAACTAAAGCTTGTGTTATTAGTAGTAGATTACTGATACAAATGTATAGATATACTAGCTTTTGCTCGCGGCTTCGCTCGCTAATTTATCCCCTTAGGGGTGGAATTAATCAAAATCCCTTCTTAGGGGATGCCTACGTCATAGTAGCTTTATGCATGCAAAGTCTCACCCCGATCGGTTTAAAATTGACAAAATTTCATACAAACTTTCATCCCCTATTTTATCCCCTTGGAGGTAGAATATAATCAAATTCCTTTCTTAGCGGATGCCTACGTCATAACATCTACCTGCATGCCAAATTTCAGCCCGATCCGTCCAATAGTTTGGGCTGCGCGTTGATAGATCACTATGTCAGTCACTTTTCAGTTATATATATATTTAGATTTTTTTCGTAAATAGATACATATTATACACAGTCTGTTGTATATTCGATAGAATACACATAAAACTAGACTGAGACTTTCTTTTTTGACCTATTTTAACAAGAAACCAGCTTTGTAGTATATATCCATCAAAGAGCGAAATGGCACTGAGGCATCATTACTCTTAAGGAATGAATTCCCTATCGGCGACGGCCGGTGCAATCAATAAAATAAATCTACAAAACAAATGAAATTAGTAAAAAAAGGCGTGTCACACATCATACGATAATGGTTTTATTAATTGTAATCAAAGATCATATGTTACTATCACAACGAGCAATCACAGCCGTCTCCATAATCTGTAGTCAACGCCTAAACAAAAACTGTAAACTTACATTTTTAATGTATTAGTGTCTGTCCTGGTCACACAATCATTATCATTGTTTCGTCATCAACTAAACATGAACTATAAACTTAAATTTTTAACGAAACATGTAGGTATACCTGTCCTGGTCACACATTCATTATCACTGTTTCATCATACGGTAACGGAACTCTAAATTACTATCTGTCACTTGTCTGCCACGCGAGACGAAGGTGTAAGATAATATTATGATATACAATATTCATATTTAAACAGTTGTGATCTGGCATAGCACGGAGCGACAGTTCGTCTTTATACAAAAAATAAAAATACAACGATAAATAAATTTTAATTGTTAAAGAAACGAGAATTTCGTTATCACCGTTTCATTTTGCAATTATTAAATAACTTTTCATTTTGTGTATTTGGAAGTGTTGTGGTAAAATGGCCGGTGTTTATTTTATTATGGTAAGTCGTAAACTTAATTACTAAATATTGAATTTATTAATAAAATATTAATGTGAGATAAATTTAATCATAGCTTTAATAAATTATTAAATAGTAATCATATTACAATTAATGAATTAAATGAAACAGTTTAATATAACGTAATTAATTTATTAATAAATAAATTACCAAAATTAATTATTGTTAACTTAGAATTAATTAATTGTTGAATTTATTTTAGCATAATCCATTTCTTAACTGCTATTGTCAATGATAAGAACTTTCAAAACTTTAATTATAAATAGAACTTAATTTTAGACTTCTTTAAAGTTACATCGTTAGATATAACTTTAAAGTCTATCTAACGATATGACTGTAAAGTTACTTAACTTTTTTTCATCTTAATTAAAATTTTTTTTACTTATAAATGGGCGTAATCGTAAAATAATACATAGATATTGTATTTATATTACAGTTGTTACCCGCAAATTCAGATTTCATTAGTGTTTATTATAGATTTACAGTAACTTTCTCTACAACTTTTGGGTTACTTGAACCTAACATTTAGAATGTTAGGTTCAAGAAGCTACTTGAACTAGAAGTTCTTTAAATCTATAGAACACAATAATGAAACCTGAATTTGTATTTGTAAGCATTTAAAGATATATAATAATAATAATAATAATAATCTCAGGACAATTCACACAGTGCCATCTAGACCCAAGTTCAGCTAGGTAAAGCTTGTATTATGGGTACTAGATAACTGATACATATACATAGGTATTTTTTTTTGTAAATAAATACATATTATACATAGAAAACACCCAGACCGATACAAACAATCATACTCATGAATACAAATGTTTGTACCGTGAGAGGAATCGAACCCGCGACCATCGATCGTAAAGCTAGACCGCTAGATAAAGCTAGAGGTAGAATGTAAAAAAAGTCTGCGTCGGTACCTCAGCCTCACCTATTTCAGCCGAGAAGTAGCTTGCTTTGTACACTGTATTTCGGTTGTATAGGCGAGCCTGCTGCCGGCTTCAGTGAAATATGAATATCAATTCATATTTCACTGACTCTCCAGTGAAGTCAATATAAAACAAAAAAAAATTTAATACGTAAGCCGGCAGCAAGCTCGCCTATATAAAAAAAAATACAGTTTATTTGATTGATAAAGTGATGAATTATTAGCATATTTTTATATTAAGTTCACTTCTATATTTTTTTTAATTACAATAAGAAGTATTATTATTATTATTAATAATATCTCTGGACAATTAATACAACGCTATCTAGTACCAAGCTAAGCAGAGTTGTTATAGATACTTGATAACCGATATAAATACATAGATACATTATTTTTGTAAATACATACATAAAGAAAACTCCCAGACCGATACAAACAATCATACTCATATATACATATGTTTGTACTGTACAAGTAAAGCAGTGAGCTAAACCGCTAGTCTATCGAATAATCATATAATTTTTTTTATGTCTGTTAAATCTGATCTCTCGACCTCTTGATTGTAAGTCAGAGTAGTAAACCACTGAGCAGCGACGCTCTCAATTATAAAGATAAATTTATATAAATGGTCGGAAACAGTATCATTGACTTAAGTGATATGAGTATCAGAAGAGAAGTAACTCTTGCTTTAGAAATGTCAGGGACATTCCGATATGATTATCTCTAAAGTCCGAAGTTTTAATTTAGATATTGGTTTCGGAAAGTTTCAGTATAAAACTGCTACATCAGATTCTGACAGAGCGGGACTTTGTAGGTACCTACAGAATTTTTTAGGACTACCTAATGCTGTTGGCCGCAGCTGGCCTTTACAGCTTCACCGAACGATAGGGGCAAGTGCAGATGGCACTCAAAACCCGTGGAAGTACTAGGAGCGGCTGAAGGCCAACTCCCGCCTAACGGATACGACTTTAGTCACAGTCATTGGGCTCCCTAAAGTATGGTCCAGCGCAGTGATGGCTGGCTCATCCGTCATACTCATGAACGGGGCTGCTTGTAGGGACTGGTTTGCTCTAATCACTATAACTGATTTCCTCTTTTTAATTGTTTAACCAGTTGTTGTGTATTCAATATTTTTTCTGTTTGATTATTTAATTGAATTAGTGCTAATTGGTGGTTTGTATTCACACACTTAAACTTCAATTGTAAAGTAATAATAAAATTATTTAAAAGAGCAACACGCAAGTTTCTTGCTCGTTCTTGTGATGAGACAGCTTTCCGAATGAGCGGTAGATTAAAAATAATGTAATGACAATTCAAAAGTGCTTCAATGTAAGTTTATTTGAATAAATGATTTTCTATTCTATTCTATTCGATTTTTTCCTCCGCACCCGTCGCCATAAACTCCCCAATTAGTGAGATTCTGGGGAGTTTTTTATGGGGATAGGGAAGATTAAAAAATTATAGTTTTAAATCGTATCCGTCAGGCAGGTTACTTAAAAAATTGTGAGATTCTTTTTGAGTCCATTTCACAAATTTCCATTCGTTCAATTTTCTTCTGACCTCTCTATGCTATCGTCTTAAAAAACTCTGACTTTAGTCTGAATGCATTGCTAGGAGTTCAACCTTAAGGTCTAAACTTTTTAACCAAGACCTAAGTCTTGGTTATATCGATTCCCATTTGAATTGGACGAGGATCATAAGTCGTACAACCGAAACTTAATTACTATGATTTATGAACATATATAATACTAATTAAGGCATTAAATATTAATTAATGTCGATTTATCAATTATTGTTTTAGTAACAAACTATAATTATTAGACGGTCTCGGTGATCTAGCGGTTTAGCACACCGGCTTACTTCTTATACACACAGCGTCTTGGGTTCGATTCCTCACACGGCATAAACATTTATTTATAATTCTTTATTGTACAAATATTAAAAGTAGAAAATATTATATATATATATAACAATACATTTGTATTCATAAGAATTATTGTGTGGGTCTGGATGTTTTAAATGTATATTGTGTATGTATATACAATAAGTTTTGTTATGGGTATCAGTTGTCTAGACCCATAACAAAAGCTCTACTCGGTTTGGGACTAGATGGCGCTGTGTGAATTATTCAGGGAATTTATTATTTACTTATTTATTGCTAGCTGCATCCGCGACTTCGTCCGCGTTTGCGGACGAAGTCGCGAATTTAACTTTATTTAACTTTATTTTTCTAAAATAAAAGTAGCCTAAGTTACTCCGTATTATATCACCTACCTGCCAATAAAAGACCCGTCAAAATCGGTCCACACATTTCAGAAATTAGCCGGAACAAACAGACAGACAGACAGAAATTGTAAAAAATGTTATTTTGGTGTATGTACCGTATTTTTAATATAAATACGGTACATACACCAATGCCTGTAGTAAAAAACGGTTATTTCAATATTACAAACAGATACTCTAATTTTATTTACATGTATTAATGAATTTATGAATGATTGAAGAGTTCAATTATTGTAGATATATCTAATTATTTTTTTATTAATATTCATCCCATATTACTTGTTTTGTATATATATGTATAAGAATTTATGAAATCAATTAAGAATGTTAAGAGTTTGTGAACGTACGCAATATGTATGATCATACAGCTCCGTTCAGAGTTAAAGAATATTTTCCTGCATTTGATTTCAATATAATATATGTTAAAATTTATATAAAAAAATAGAAAAAAAAATGTGGAGGGAGGAACATATTCCATAGGAATTACGTACACTTATAGTTAGTTACTCGACCCGGCTTCGCACGGGTGTACAAATTAATGATCCGAAGGCGTAAGTAAGCCGCGAAATTTGAAAATGGAACATCTATATTTGTTGTTATTGTTTTAAAATTCATCCAATTTGGACGGGCGAAGACCATTGCCCATACTGCCCAGTTACATATACGAGCTATTCTTTACTGATTCAATCAAGTTAATTTAAGTAAGTTTAAAGACAAACTTGCTGTCCCCAAGTATCGTTTAGAAAAAGTTAATAGGTCTTTTATGGGAATAGGTATAAAAATTTAAAATAAGGTACCAAAGGATATGTTGGAATTACCCTTAAATAAATTCAAAACATCTGTTAAATCATATTTACTGAGCAAAGCCTATTACTCACTAAACGATTACTTGAATGACGAGCGTGCATGGCAATAGATGTTCATGCACTGAATTTTCATTTAATGTTAGACATAGACACCTATATAAATATACATTGTAAATAAACTGGCTTTAAAAAAAAAAAGTAATTCAATTGAGTTTCTTGCCAGTTCTTCTCAATTGGATCTATATACCGAACTGGACGGTAGGGAAAAAAATAAAATTAGAATGTAAAAATTTGACGTTCATAAGCGGCTAAAATGTCCAACATGATTAAATGATTTTTGAATTTGAATTTGAATTTGAATTTGTATCGAAATATCATTCTTCAATAATCCATAAAGTTAGTCACATTCAGGTTTTAAGCATCCATTTCCATGTTTCTATTTCTGTTTTAAATGTAAGATACATAAATTACAGAATCAAAATTTATTTTATTATTAAATCATAGGCAAAAAGTATAAATGTCAACAATTATAGCAGTGTACACAACCTGTATCTAGGTATAATGTTTATCAGAGCCAGATATAGCTTGCTTGTGTTTATTATTTGATATTTATTGTTTGGTGTCGCGCCGTGACCCGTAAAATGATAGTTGTGCATAATTTAAATTATTAATCAGTATAGTCATTACAATCAGCATCCTTCAAGACTTCTTTCAGTATTAAAAGACATAGCATATTCTAAAATATGATTTCTAAATCTTTATGCTACGTTTACATTCAGCCGCTTCCCCTGCCACTCGCGCTGCCGGAAACATTGCCGGGCGACAATTGAGCGAGAGGGCTGAATGTAAAAACACGCTGCCACTCGCGCTGCCAGTCCTTTGACTCGCGCACGAAATACCGACAATCGAGGGAGCGCCGGGCAGCGCGAGTGGCAGCGCCAATGGCATGGGAAGTGTTTCCA